CAACGCCGTCGCACCGAGCCTGCAAAGCCTCTTCCCAGATCCGCTAAGTGCCAACTTTACCTCCATCGCCATGCGGCTATCGAATGCGGTTGTCGAACTCGATTACGGCCACACGACCATGGACGGCTTCGCAATGGTCGTCACCTTCATTTTTGCCAACATGCTCACAACCTTTGACTGGACGTTTGAGGAGGTGCCAGGGATGACGACGCGACAGGGGCCTGTCCGCTGGCAGATATTGGCATCAGGGCCGCGTTTACAGTGGCAATGGGTCATTGCAATCGTCATTGGGGTCAATATAGTTGTCCAACTCTACGACATCTTTTTGATCCTGTGGCACAGGCATGCCAAAGGGCTGTGGCTGAGTTTGGGCGGAATGCTTTTTGCAGCCAATGCGGCAGGCCCGATGGCTGTCGTCAAGCCTGATCAGGGCGCTGGATTCATCCCTGAGTCGAAAAAGGATGCGAGGTTTTTCATAAGACAGACCAGAGACAGCGAAGGGGATGAGATGAGGGCAGTCATGATCAGCGACAGGGATGAGGATCGACTGGAAGAGTACGAGGTGCTTGATTCGAAGAAGGCATATGGCAAAGTAGACCCAGTGGATGACGAATCAGAGTGAGGCAAACTAGACTATGTGGCAGCGGTCCAAGCAGTGTTGACAGAAGCGTTGGAATCACAGTGGGTGTCGAAAGGATTGAGACTGACCTCCTGGGTCCAGCTGGAGCAATGAATGACTGCTCCCTCGGCGCAGCAGCAGCAGTGAATGAATGCTCCTTAGCCGCAACTGTTGCAGCAAAGGAGTGCTCCCTAGATGCAATCAAGAGCCTGAATCATGGATTGGATTGCACGAAATATTCTACCAATCAGAGGGCTTTAATCTTTTCCAAACCAATGCACGACATACTACTGCCGCTCCCACCTTTGGCACAAGCTGTCGGCCTCCGAAAGACAACCCTGACAAGGCTCGACAAAGAGCCGCAACTCTACCAAGCTACTCTTAAGCACAACCCAATTCAATCATGATCCATCCGCAAATACATTGAGGAAGAAGAAAAGACGCCGCGCCATCTCCTTCCCCCAAGATCCAAACTCGCCAACTCACAACTCGCACCCCCACTATACAACCCTTGGCAGCGGCAATTTTTCTCGAATTTTTTCTCCTCCTCACAACCTGCATCTCGCCTCGGGCACCAAATCATCATCGTCGCACCTCCTTGGCCCCAGCCAGCCAGCCAATGACAGCGCAACCCGGCCGCCCCCGAGCGAAAACAGGCTGGTCCGCGCTCGGATCAGGCTCGGAAATGTCGCGGCGCGTGCGAGGCCTTTTGGATGTGCCACCACCCATTCGTTGCATGGCCAAGAGATTGGGCAGTTATAAGGGAAGATAGTGTCCCGGCGAAGCTTCGCGTCTTTTTCTGCTCCCTACTACTGCTGTTGTGCTCTGGAAATCGAATCGTTGAACTCTTTAATTCGCTGTCTGCGGACCAAGCAAAGCAAACCGACCTACCTTTTCTCGATTCCGAAATCGGTCACCTCATCTCACACCATTCACTCGTCTGCTCTCTGCTTCAGGCCAGCCATCCAGTGGACGAGCAAGCATCTGGGCCAACGAATCAAACCACAATCAAATAAACCACAACACCTCGTCTCATCCACTCCACATCTGCAACTCTCAAAACAAACAAAAGTCCCAGCAAAAGAGCAGATCATAGAAGAAGAAAAAAATCACCGCTGGTGATAAAACAGAAGACTTTTGAACAAAAATAAAAACAAGAGATCAAAAATGACTCTCAACACCTTCCTCGCCTCCCTCAAATCCACCTGGGCCGACTGGCGCATCCTCATGGCGGCCCGCGACGACCTCGACGACGACTACAACTTCGCCTCGGGCCCGCGACGCGGCGCCGAGCTCGCTTATTACGAGCAGCAGCAGAACGAAGAGGAGGAGCAGGAGCGAAGGAGGGAGAGGAAGCTGAGCAGTGAGAGGAGGGATAGCGGCAGTGTGAGCGAGCAGGTCTCGATGAGCACGAAGGTCGCGAGTAATTGATTTGATGAGAGGAGACGGAGTGCGAGAAGGGAAAGGCGTCAATGGGGGTTTCCCTTTTTTCAGGTGTGCATCACGGGGTTTTGGAGGTAATAAGGTACAGGTTCAGATCTCGTAAAGGAGAGAAAAATACATCTTCCAAACGTGTTTTAATCATGCAATCGTTGAAATGTCTAGTGTGGCTAATGGTAAACACACAGGGTATCCACAAACACCTCAAAGCTCCAAGCGCCGTTTTCATGCATCGTTCTCGACATCTTAATATACATACGGGAGCTTCAGGAGCCGGTGACGGCCAAGGAGAGCGCGTCCCACGACATCTCCTTGTCCATCTTTGAATCTTTCCCGTTTGCGGTCCTCTCAAAGCACAAATTAGGACACCATTTTGATTTCTTTCTTCTCTTTTCCGACTTCACCGACAAGCCGCTTAACCCTCCAGCTCCACTGGCCCGACTGGCCCGACTGGCCCATGTTCTGGCAAGTGCAGGTCGGCAGCGGACAAGTTGGAATGCGAACGGGGGCGCGCCGGCTTGGTCTGCGCAGCCTCGGGAGTCAGCGACTTTGGTCCTGGCGAGTAGGCCGTGTAGCTGTTGGACTTGACGGGAGGCGGCCTGTACGCGAGGTAGCTCGGCTTGAGCGGTGCGGTGGCAGCAGCGAACGATTGGTACTTGTCGGGACGATACGGCGGCAACGGGTTGTCAGACGGAGGAAGAGGGGGAGGAGGGGGAGCGACGCCGGAAACTCCCCCGCTGTTGAAGAAGGCGGCGATGTCCTCGGCGAGTTTCTGCTGCACCAGGTCTTCTATGGTCGTGGAGTCGAGCTCCATGGTTCCTTCGGGCTCGTTGGATGCAGCCAGCTCGGTCGAGTCGAGCTCGGCGACAATGCGAGGCGTGGCGTTGGCGACATCCCGTGGTGGTTGCGGCGGCGGTTGCTGTTCGGATTGGGACGAGCTTGGGCGTGATGAGAGGAGCGAGTGTGCGCCACTGCTGACGCTAGCCGCTTCGCTGGAAGGAAAGCTTGGAGGGCGATACACGGAGCTTGCCATGTCGGCGTAGACGGAGCCTTGCGCGGAACTCATGGCCGACACCCTGCGACTTTGCCTCTTGGAATCCTCGATGCCGGCCTTGGCCACCAGCCGGTCCACCAGCACGCTGTGCGCCTTTTTCAGCGTGCCTTTGACAAACTTGTTCATCACAATGTTGCAGTGCATGTCGCAGTCCTCGCGGAGGTAAAGGCCTTGGCTGGGGATGTTGAGACCGAGTTCGATGGGTGCTTTGGGCTCGCCAGGCAGGCTTCCGCCGATGCTCCATTTCTCCTTGATGTCGAGGCCCAGCGGCGCATAAACGTGTGTTTGCACGCCGTCAAAGAGGTCGTGGAAGCAAGCGTTGTACGAGACTTCTCCAGATACGCCGGGAATGTAGCTCACCCGATCTGCAAATGTTAGGTCGCGCAGTGGAAGCGTTCGTCGGTGGACAAAATACCTGTCAAAGAATACCATATGCAGTGAAACTCTTCAGCAGTCGCGCTTCGCGGCGGCCGGATGACATGGCGCTCCACGACCAAGGGATTCAAGTCTATCATGGACAGATGATCGTGTAGAAACTCCAAGACGGTCTCCTTCGAGACGCCCGCCGGCAGCGGCGTGATGGTTGTGAAGACGGTTCTCTTCGACATGATGCTCGTTGTGATGCGGACAGCGGCGCAAAAGCGCAGAAAAGGGGATTCGACAAGCGACTGCCACCATGGCCAGCGGGGTCAGAGGTGATATAGGCATCTGCTCTCCCGAATCCTCATGTTCCCGCCAAGTGCATCCGTGGATCCAAAGGGACTTGTGGCTGAACCTGCGGCGCGCGCATTGGTCGCGTCGGTCTGGGTTACGGCATGTCAGCCAGTATTCGTCAGGTCAGCCCGCTGGCCCTATTTTTGGGCTGACTTGTCGTCCAAGCCCCCCGCATGCACGTGTCCAAGCGACAGACTCGACTTGGGGCGATCCAGCGATCATCATGGGCGGCGGTGCTGTAAGCTGTAGTCGAGTGGGGGAGGCAAAGCGTAGAGTTGAGGTCGGGATGAGGGCCAGAAAAGCAGGGTTCGGGGAGTGGAGCGTTTTGATTGGTCGATCAACTCCTTGTTCTAAATCCGTACGGCATGGCCCCAAGATTGTTCTGGCAGCGTTCAATACACAAACGGACCAAGATTACGACTTCTATTTCTTCTCGATGGGGAGAGGTCGTAACAATGTGTTGTGAAACGACTGAATGCGTTCGGTTGAGTCTGAAGCTCGGGTCCAAAAGTCGTGGCGCAAGCGAAGATAACCAGCGTAGAAGATTGGGGGTATCGCGCGCTGTGACGGGCGACGGGCAGAGGTATTCTGCTTGATTGAAGCTAGAATGCTCCAGATCATTCCGCGTTCATGAAAGAAAAGGAGTCGTGAGTACATCTCGCGGAAGACCGTATTTATGTATGACGACTTTTAGCAATCAGCCTCGTCCGCTGGCGGAATAACTACAGGTTGGTTGCTTAGGGCTGAAGTGGGTGTCGAACGGGATAAGACCTTCTGGCCATGCGAGTGAGCTTGAGGAGCATCATTCGCTGCTACAGTTACGCTTAAGAAGGTTCATTCACTCGTACTGCCGCCTCGGGGGCAGTCGTTCATCGCTGCAGCCAGAGCCAGGAAGTCGGTAGCGGCGACAAAAGAAGTATCCCAAATAATCAACATCTTGAATTGTTCCCCCGAGCAAACATCTTTCCGTCGCACCAGAAAGTCTTGAGAGAAGGGCTTTGTAAAGACGCATTCCTTGCTCTTGCCTCTACATGATGACGTAGGCGCTAATCTCTCCCGCGCTACTACCACTGACAAAGCCGTCAGTGCGCTCCGCGAAGCCAAAAAAGCCTTTCGACCCACCACATCAACCACACGCCCCACCATCATTGTAAAATGATGCAAAAAGATCTTTTCCGTCACGGGGAATTGAACCCCGGCCTTGTCGGCACTTACATGAGATGGTATCTCTTCTTGAGAGCGACAAATCCTAGCCACTAGACCATAACGGATAACTGCTGATTGATGACAGGATTGCAAAATATTAAAATTATATACCATATTTTTAAGACTTTCCACATCTCTGCATCAGTCTAGAGACATTCTCGAGTAGTCTAGCAGTGTTGTGGGTGCTCTTGATCATTATAGGGACAGATAATTGTCGATTTCACACATCAGGGGCGATGAGGAACTCGAGGAAGAGTTAGATGGGCAACTTTAAGAAAGTCTATGTCCTGAATCACAATCAATACAAATCTACAGGGCTCTGCATCATGCGGACGTCATGGTGCGGATTTGGAGGCTGAGGACAGTGACCGAAAAATTCAAAGCCACTCAAAATTGCGACTGAAGTTGAAGTCTGAGCTAAGCATGTGTCAAAACCACACACCACCTGTCACCCAAATGAATACAAGAAACCCAAACTACATTAACAAGTTTTTGATCAATCCTTGTGACTACTAGAAAAGAAAGGAGATTCGATAGACATCCCAAGGGAAAGCAACAAGTAACAAACGAGTTCACTACCAACTCAAATCCCACCTTGTTGTGTCACATAGCACTGCACAAGCGCAGTATGCAGGGAAGAGACACATTCAGTGCTGCCAGGCCGAGGAAAGATCATTTCTCTCTGCAACCATTGTGGAGGAAGCACTAGTCGGACTGAAAAGTAACGTGGTAAACTCGGGTATCAATTCAACATCTGTCTCTCCCTCTCCCTCTGGTCTAGTCAAGTCTGGACAAATATATACAGCGGGAAAGCCCGCGAATCTCAACCTCCAACGCCAGAAGACAGACAAACCCCCGAAAACCAAAAGCAGATCAAAAGAAAGCGAAGACAGAAGCCTCCAGTAATACACCTCTCATCTCTCATCTCTCAACTCCATCTCCAGTCCCTGAAATCGAAAATGGTCGTCTCCCCATCAAGCCCAGCGGCCGTCCGAGGTGGCAAAGCATCGCAGCTTAGATGCCGACCTTGGTCAGGACGTACGAGGTGGGAACAGGCCAGCCCAGGATGCCGGCGGCAACGGGGACGTACCAAGCGGCGGTGCGGACGAGCTTGGTGCGGTAGAAGCCCCAGGAGACGGGGTGAGAGGGGCCCGCGGATGGGTAGCGGCCGACGGGGTGGGCTTCCTTGGGGAGCAGGTTGCGCGCGGAGCGGAGAAATGCGCGGATGGGCGAGGGACGGAATGCCATTTCTGGTTTTGGAGTGGTGGTTTTTTGGTGGGTGGTTGATTTGTTGGTTTATCGGAAGAGGCGAAGCGATTTGAAACTTGGCTTCGATATATGATTTGTTTGGAGAGTTTCTTGGTGGTTGATTGCGATTGAGGAGGGTGTCGATTTATGGACAGCGAATTGTAGAGTGATGTTTTGAGGTCGATATAGACAAGGCGAAGAGAAGTCGAATTATCCACAGACTGTTGTGTTGATTGTGATGATGAAGGAAAAAAACCACCTACCTCGCGCCAGCACGAACAATATATACACAGAAGGCGTAGGCTTTGGTCATGGCTCATCCATCATCGGCATGGCCCTTCCAACGGCCAACGGTCAACGGTCGGCCACCGCGGCAACCGGAACCAGGTTTTGCATCAGCTGAGACGGGGGCCAGTCAATACTCGTGGCATCATGATCAAAGAGGCAGTCCCGTTTGCACCCGTACCGGGCATCAGATCCTGCTCAGCATTTCGCTCCAATGCCGAGCGGGCTGAGTCGCGGCAGCGTCGGCGGGCTGGCCGTTGAGAGCCGCAAGCAATCAGAGAGCCGCAAGGGGCGAGGGTTGTGCAGAATTGGCTTGGCCGTTGGAGCTAATCCGGGGAAAGCAGGAGTGCAGGAGTGCAGGTGTCGTGATTCCATCCATGTCGGTCAGCCCTGCCGAGAGCGAGGATTGACGTTGGGCGTTGAATTGGGCCGAATGTGATTGGAAGGGAGCGAGGTGGTGCAGCGCTGGCGTGACGGAACAGCCAACGCTCGCGTGAGTCGCGAGACGGTGGTGTGAGTTGCTGCGGCCCGTGCGGCCTTCGGCAGTCGGCAGCCGGCACCCGCCGAAGATGCCGATCCCTTTCTTCCTGAGGTGTCATCCTCACGATGCTGACTCAGCTGGATCCTCCTCTCCAGTCGAGCTTCATCCAGACGTCGCTGTGATTGGGCGCTTTGGGAACATATCCAAACTCTTGACTTTGGCAATCAAAATGTATGGCGGCCGGGGTTGAGCGGTCCAAAAGCTGGATTCCATGGCTGGAACAGGGGTACAAACGACGAGAACACGTCTCTCGACATGGCAGATGAAGACATCGGAGTGAGAATGCAGCAATGAGACTTGAAAGTGCCAAAACACTCTAGAAATGCGACAGCGAGGCCTCCATGTTATACCCAGACTTCCTCGACGCAGCCCGCAGACACAGCGTCAACTCCATGCCATCCTCACCCCATCTCAGCAGCTTGTCAAACCAGACTCCAGGACGCCGGCACCATGTGCTCTTTTTCCCGTTTCAGCCCAATCACAGCATTCCCCAATGACGCCAGAGAAATGCACCCACCACACCCACCACAACTCTCACCTCACTTCTTGAATGTCTTGTCGAGCTTCGCCAGTGCCGCCGCCTTCTCCGCATCTCGTCTTGCTCCCTGCACCGTCGCCGGCAGGTCCCTCATCACCTGCTGCATCAGCAGATCCAGATTCGCCTGTCCCGATCCAATCTGAGGCGGCCTCTTCCTCTCACCCTCTGTCCCTCCGTCCTTTGCACTGTTGCTGCCACTGCCACTGCTGCTGAACTCTGATCCGATCCGCACAGCGTCCGCTGCCGCCTGAACTGCTGCTGCCGCCGCCTTGGCGCTCGCCAGAGCACCCACTTCTTTGCGACGCAGACTGACCTGGCCGTGCTGGTCCCAGAATGTTTCGTATCCGTGATGGTCCAGCACTTCGTTTGGAACCACTCCCTGAGGCTCCAGATCGCGAATCACGTCCTGATTCTCCTTGTTGCCCTCGAGCAAGAACCTCAGGCACATGATTGCGTGCTCCTTGATGTAAGGGTTCCCTTCGTCGTACTGACAGCAATTCAGAATCGCCTCGACGCCCCCATATGCCCGCACCTGGTCCTGAACTTTGCGGCTCTTCCACACCAGCGAAGTCAAGACCAAAACTGTCAGCTTCTTCAAATTTCGCCATTCAAAGTCCGAAGGCTCTTCGCTTGGGTCCTCTACATACTGCCCGCTGGACGAAGAAGGTGCCGGAAACTGGTCCGAAGGCACCGTCGGCGCCCCGACGTCATACGGGCGCTCGACTGCCACTGGAGCAGGAGCAGGACCTGAGCCTGGCGGAGGCTGAGGGCTTGTCGATCTGTGGCTTTCGGGCATCGTCGGTGGCCTTCTCGCAAGCAAAGTTTGCTTGGGCAACGCTGAGTCGAGCTCCTTCAGAAGCGTAATGAGTTCACTGGTAATCTCCCAGTCGGCCATCATCTTCTTCCACACATCGTGCTCCGTCAAGATGGCAAAGAATTCGAGATACTGGTACACTCCTTCGTACATGCGCTCCATGTCCCACAGGTTGAGGGGAAAGTCTTCAGGGTGAGCATTTCCGGCCTTGATCTGACCCTGAAGGAAGATCAGAGCACATGTTTGAGGGATGATGTGACGTCGGAACTCGGTGAACAAAAAGTTGACCATGTGAACGTCGACACGCAACGGGTATGAGGACCCCTGGCCATCCCCGTGGTCCTTGGCAGCTTCCAGTGCTTGGTTCTGCCTCGATTTGAAGATGTTGGTCAACAACTTCATAATGACTCCTTGAGCAGGCGAAATAATGTCCTTGGTTTCGCGGAATGCGTGATATGAAAATGGCAAGAGCCCATTCATGAGGACGGCCTCGGTAATCTTGACCATGAACTTGAAGTAGAGCTCTTCCTCGCGTAGATCCCAGGCCGCAACGAAAATCAACAGCTCGCGCAGCAGATTTCTTCCGTTGTCCTGCGCCAGCAGAAGATGGCACCGGACTGTGTGCATATTCTTGATGGCGGCAATCTCGTCCGCAAGGACACCATAGTTGGACGCTCCCTCGGGTGGAGGCACTATTCCAGACATGATGATCATGGGCAGGACCTCAATCTCAGAGGGCGCCAAAATCAAAGGCACATCAGTCAGCAAGCCTCGGCCGTCGTCGCCCGAAACCACATAGTCGTCGTCCTCACTGTCCTCCTCCTCACTGACGTCGTCTCCAATGTCTTCGGCTGGTTCGGTGGCGTTGGGGGATGCGGGTGATATTACAGGCGAAGAGGGGGATGCTTCAGACACGCGCTGGGCCGGGACGCGCTCCGGGAAGGTTTCGAGTCGCTTCATAAGATCGTCTTTTCCTTCTTGGAGAATGTTTGCTCCATAGGCTGCCGAGTAGGCCATGCGAAAGTCTGCCTCGCTCGCGGCGGGCGATTCCGGGAGCCTGGTAGTGAGCGGGAAATTCTCAATATCCCACCGTTTGAGGACATCGGTCGGCGTAATCTTTGGTTGTGCTGAAGGGTAGGTGAGCATTTTGCTTTTCGACGACAGCAAGGCTTTCTTCATACGGTCGACTTCCAGCTGGAGTTGATTGATGCTTGCAGCGAGAGCAGCAACGTTCTCTTCTTGGCTCGCGTTGGGATCAATTGGCTTCAGCTCAGACGGTGGCTTGATTGACTTGAGCAACGTCGCGTCCTGCCGGTATTTGGCCATGAGATCGTTGTACAAAAGGTGCCATTCCTGAGTCCCAGTTTAGCATTATTAAGTGAAAAATAGACACGGGACCTACGTCTCGCGACTCCTGGGGCATCTCCTGCCATCTCTTCTTGCACTCGGCCGCAATTTCAGTGGCCCCGGCCTTTTCGCCCTTTGCAAGCAGAGAACGCTTGACGTCCATCCCAATCTTCCCAATGTAGAGCAGAAACGGAGAAGACGCACGCTGCTGCGAGCCTGATCCTGCACCCGTGGACAGGTCCTTGATTGCTTTGGCCGTAAAATCAGAGTATGGCACCGAGCTCCAGTCTTG